CATCATATTATATGTAAGACACAAAGAGAATGCTTCTATTCACTGGAAATCTTTCTTCTCACTAGAAGCTACCTGCCACTATCTTTGCTAATAAAATCCCCAAAACCTGAAAAAACCAGCATTGATTTTTCACTTCTTATCCCCACTGAACACACAGGACCACCGGAAACACCTCTCCCCAGGGTGTCTTCCCCCAATGGTCTGCGCACTTTACCCCCAATCTTACTGTTGCTAAGAACTTGTTGCTACTGAGTAAATGGTTATTTTTGGCCTCTCAATGCAGCAATTCAAAAACGTCTCTTCATCTTAACATTTTGAATTTACATACGTGTTGGATAGAAAAGGTGGTAACATTATGACATAATCTTAATTATTTAATACATATTTGGGGTGCAGTGGCAATTCCCACTCTACTTCCTAATCTCTACCTTTCATCATACTCTGAGAATTGGTGGCTTTCCCACATTATTTCATCCTAAACCCCCAAACAAGTAGTTCTTGATTTTTTGTTTTCCTTTTAAAATTTGATAAGAGTTATAGAGTCGCCTTCATGAAACACACACACACACACACACACACACACACACACACACACACGTGTGAGCACACGAGGCCATGGCATAAAACTTCAGAGTTAACAGACCCTCTGAAACTCATCTATGGACTTCCAATTTAACAACCTCGAAGACTGCCATGTTATTTTTTTGAAATGAAATGCATATATTATAGACTTGGACTTTTAAAAGACCAGTATTTTCTTAATTTATTTTTGTGATCCAAGACAAGTAACAGTTTTAGAAGAAATGAAGTCATTTACTATCCAAGAACAAGCACGGCATTATAATTTTCAGGAATCCACTTTTTAATTTACTCGCCCTGCAGGATCATTTTGCCTTAGGGGTTAAATTTGAAACTATAAACAGTCATTAAAACACAAAACAACCATAGTGGTTAGCCGGATATTAAGAAAAAAAAAAAACACATCTGTTTTAGAGTTCTCTTCCATCCACAAATTCAGGAACATCAATTTCAAGAACCTGGTTTTATGGCATGCCCTTGAGCCAAGAACACCAGGTTACGATCAGCCAAGGAAGGAAAGACTTCCCATGAGCAGACTCGCACTACAATCTCTTGACCCCAGGTTTCTCTTTCTTTAATTCAAAAGCAGTCAGGAGAACTGGATTTTCTATTGCCTTGAAAGATAAACAGACATTACTTTTCCACATTAATAATTATGCTATTCTGATTAACTGGATAGGTTTATGAAAAGAAGAAGAAAGGAAGCAAATTTCCATGCTGTTTATCTGGTGGTACTCTTAAGTAACAAATACCGAGATTTGGTGGCTTTTCAATACAGACAGAATTTGAAGCTTGCAGAGAATCTGATTTTTCCAATTTAAATCCTTTTTAAAATTCCAACTTGTCTGAGGATGTACATTTTAAATAACCAATTTGTAATAACTTAACCAGCCAGAAAACAAGTGCAACTTTTCCAACTTTTCGAAAACACATATCTCTGGGCATCAAAGACAACTCTTCCCTGTATAGTAAGCCTAATGAAGTGTGACTAAAAATAACAGTCATCAACTGTGGTTTTAAAGGCAATATTTCAACATAATCAAATGTGTCAACTATTCCTCCGTATAGCTTCTTATGCTGCGGGTTATAAGTCAGTTTCATTTCTCGGGAATGATGGAACACAACCCACTTGCGGCTCTGCCATCTGTGGATTACTTACATGCAAACACTGTTTCAGAGATGGAAATTTCGATTGTTTTTTTTCCCTTAGGTATTGAAATGAAAGGCAAATGAACAGAGCTTTTTAGGCAATTATTTTTCACATTAGTTGCTACATGGCTACATTACCACACACTCCCCATATTCATCATCACTTATCAAATCACAGGAATAAAGTATGGTGCAGCTGAAGTGGTGAAGGAAGTTGTGAAGGAAGCATCAATAAGAACTATGGAATCCCAGAGATGAAAAGAATCTGCACTCTCCATGCCATACTCCCTGCGCTCCGGCCCTTGCCACAGAGAACCCTCTTTGCAACGTGCTCCAACATAAGAGTTGTGGTTATGTTCCCATGGTCTCCTGAAAGGCTGCTCCCCTTATCGCTGAGCAAACAAAAGTGACTATAGGGCTGTATGTAGGGTGCCACATAATTTATCATCCATACATGGACACCTCTGAGAGTTAGTAGGGACACTATTAATAATTATGTCAGAATGACAGGCATCAACCAGGACTGCCCCAGGCTAACCTAATCATATTGTTACCCCAGAGATGATGTGGAGCTCAAAGAACCTCTCCCAAAGGTCTCCAACCATTTCATTAATGCTATATCCAATTCTGTCTACAGCTGCTCTGTCCAATAGAAATAGAATGTACTATTGTAATTTTAAATTTTCTGGAAGCCATGTTTTGTAAAAGTAAACAGGTGAAAATAATTTTATAACATATTTTATTCAACCAAACATAGTATTATTTTAACATGGAGTCAAGATAAAAATTACTACTGAGATCTTTTTTCCTTTTCATTACTTTTTCTCATATTTCAATCTTTCAAATCCACTGTGCAAGTATTTCTAGTGTTCAACAGCCACATGCAGCCAGTGGCTATAATATTGGACAATGTGGGTCTAAACAGAGTTAAAATATGCAGGGATAACTGAATAGAGTTATAATACACGCAGATACACAAGTGTATTTTTCTTCTAGGTAAAAATAGACACATTGCATTAACACAGCAATTGCTAACTTTGCCTACCCTGCACAATAGCCCTGCAGTTAAACTATCTGTCTCTAGCCTGGGGTGAACGAGACCTTGGAGCAGATAAACCTTTACCTGGTAGATTCTTCTGGGAAGCAGAGAGAATGGCTGAGTTAGAAAAGCTGGGTAATTGTTGAGAACTTGTAGGACTTTTCCCCAACTAATATGTGTCTTGCATTCCTAAGTCCAACACACATACACTGGGCACCTTCCATGTACCTGACACTAGAGATAGAAAGATAAATGAGGCACAATGTCTGTATTTGGAATGTTAAGGCTTAGAGTCTACATGGAGACTATTTTACAATTGAAGCAAGAGAAGCCGAGGACGTGTCACTATTCTGTGGCAAGGCAAGGACCACACTCTGTTCTTTGGGTCTCAGGTCTGCACCTCATCATCCACAGAGCACACTTTGAGGAAAGGAGGAAATATGTGTTTTCCTTTCTACTCTTGATACGTAGGGACTCAACCCATGTTTGAAAACTTTTGTGGGGTTAGGCAGAAGGGTTTTGGGTACCTGCATTCCTTCCTAAATTAGGATTTGCCTCTTTGCTAGTAATAATATATCTCCCTCCCTAAATACCCCAACTTGGAATGCACCAATATTATATTCTGGTAAGGATACAGAATCTATCAGAAAGATAGCAGCCCTCGTCTCCTCTAGGAGAAGTGACATTGATGTATTTTCAATTGGTCTAAATGCAGAGCCTGAGTGATAGAAACATGGAACTAAACGTTGGTGGTTTCTCCATGTATAAATGATGGCAACACATTAATCAGACATGATCTCATTTTAGGGTATGCTGGTACTGTAAAAATAAGCAGTAAATTGTAGTTTTTCTCTTTTACGTAATTCTTCTCTCATTTATATAGTTCTTCTCTCCTTCCAATCCAATATATTTAGGCCTAATATGGTCTTGATTAGTGTGTGTTAAACACACAGACATAATACACATCATACTGCATACTGATTCTGTTTGTCCTCATCATTAAAGTAGAACACATACACCTGATTTTTATTAATGTTCCATTAAATATGTTTTCTTAAAAAGATGGAGAGTGAGAAAACATCACATATAAAATACTTTCAGGACACTTACTTCCTTGTTTACAAAAAGAAAAACGTGAAAATCTTGCCATAAACCTATTAGTAAATAACACAATGATTTGGTACAGTGGCTCGTTCTTCATACACGTTGGCATTGGTTCTTGATAAGAGTATTTTATACCACACTGGGAGAGTCTGTTTAGCTCATTCAGCATCCTTAAATACCTATAAAACACTGTTTTCTTAAGGCACTATAGGCAGTGAGACTTAAAATGAGGAAGAGCCTTGCTTTTAGGAAACTTCTTAATATGTTACATTATTGAAGATCACCTATTGCAATGATATATAGCCATTAACCAAAATCTAACTCTCAGGCTATTTCAAAGGATGAACCACAATTACAACTCTTCAAAGCAACTCAAGATTTAGTGGAGAGATCTCACAGTCTCATAGGGAAGGAGGACATTGTCTCTACATGAAACTGTTCTCCACTTAACCTACCATTATAAGTAGAGCAGCTATATCTGCTGGTCTAGGTATATCCGGTTATAAGCACTTTGGGCATCTAATTTTATTTTTCTTTAATTTGAATGTTGAGTTCTAGAAACCTAATACTGGCACCACATACCTATGATATTGGTAGCTTGAAACTACATCACCATTCACCATGGTATGACTTCACAGAGCATTGCATTAACATACCAAAAACGTATAAACTATCCTTGGGTGGTTGGTAGCCGGAACAGGAAGGAAATCTGACAGTACAACCAATGGTTAAGAGCACGGACTTTGGAGCCAAACCACCTGGGTTAAATTCTCGGCTCTGCCACTTACTAGCTGTGATCTTAGACAAATTACTAAACCTCCCTCTGCCTCAATCTCATTATCAGTAAAATGGAAAGAAAAACTTGTTCTTACTTCGATGAGGAGGTTTAGATAACTTAATGTAAAGCACTTAAAACAGTGCTAGGCACATAAGTAGTGCTGTATAAATAACAGCCATTACTGTAACTATATACTAGTAATAGCTCACACTAGCTATTATTATCACTAATACTATACATTCTACCAAAAGAGCTCTAATTATCAACTTACTTAGGCCTGCAAAGTCCCAGTTAGTCTAGGGGTAAGGCCCTTTGATCTTTCATCAGATGTGCAAACTGCAGGATACCTACTGGAATAACAGGTTTCTGACTCTGGCCATTGGGCTGGGAAGTGCTTGGCTGGGCATCAGCAGGTGGGCCTGGTGCCGGGTCACTGCTTCTCCTCACCAACAGTGGAGTGCCTGTAGGACAAAATAAGAGGTGAGAGGTCAAGAGAACCCTGGAGGGAAGAGAGTGCATGGTACAATGCAATTTAATTAAAGAGGTTTACAACATGCTTTTATGTAAAAACATTCCATTTCTAAGAATGCTTGTAAATTAATCCATTTAATGATCTTTTGTCATCTATTTATAGAATGACACACGGAAACAAAATCTTTCAAATCTTGTCTTTCCCCACTTGCATTTCAAAACAAGTCATTGTAGTTAACCGAAGACTGTTAGGCAATGCAAAAGCTGACCATGTGCAATCTAAAACTGATCTAGAAAATATATTTGAGTATTAAAAAGAATGATTATCCAGCAGACGAGTGAAGAGGTTCACACAGTCAGTGCAATTTGCTATTCAGTAGAGCTAGAAGTATAGTTATTACTGCCATTTGGTGCTTCCCAAATCCTTTGAATGATGATATATACTGAAATAAATTATTTGCTGAGGTTATAGCATTAATGTCTTTTTAAGTACACAGAGAGATTGGTTCCATTCTCTTCCTTTTCTCCTAAAGTAGATAAAACTGATAAGGAAAATAAGTTAGTTCTTCTAAAAATATATCCTGATTTCTTTTTAATTTAATGAAAGCTTCTACTATTAAATATTTGAGTCAGTTATTAAATTCTGAAAAAGGATCATACTATTAGAAAGTTCAAATGAAATTCAACCTTAGCAGAGCTGGCAGCCTAACTACTCCGCCTGCAATTAGGCCTAAAATAATTTGTTTCATACAAAATTGGCCACTATAGAGGAAACTGAAAAAAATACGTTTGTGGTTTAAAAATTGCTCTAACATAAAAATTAACTTTTTATTTGTGTGCTTTTGGGAAAAAAGTGGTAAACAGTAGAAATGCAATTCTCCATTTATCAATATTCTGAAATAATTCCCCAACTCTCTCAAGCTATTGCAGTTTAAAAGAACATTTTTCTTACCTCATTTTATATGGTTCAGTTATGAAAAGTGAATCCATTTTGAAGTTATTTACAAATCTGATTTTTCTATGTGCTCCAACATTCTTGCACAAAACACAGAATTGCTAGTACTTTTCATCCTTGTTCAAACAGAAGTTGTTTTTCATAAAATAACTTCTTTTATAATAAGAAATTAACATGCTACTTAGGAGGAAACACTATGCCAAAAGGTATTATAAAGTCTAAGTTCACATTCCCTTATTTCTTTTTTATTAACAGACACTTCACTACATTATTCCCCACCTCCTCCATCTCTACGTAAAAAGTTTCTTAAGGCAGTGACATACCAATAGTTGCATGATTGGCAATTGTTCTCTGAATGAAACATTAAAAGAGAAAATTAAGAAGAGTAGAAGCAAAAGAAAAATCCCTAAAATCTTAAGACCACAAAGTCCTCCTGCGCCAAGAGTTCTTTCCCTCCTCTGGGTGATCTGAAGACTAAGTGCCTCTCAATTTGGGGCCCCGAATCACCATTAACATGGAGCGAACGAGTCAGTCTAAACGTGATCTCCTCAGAAGCAACCCATCATCTTTAAAATTAAGAAGAGAACAGGGCAAACTCCATGAAACTCTGGTGTGTTTCCAAGCATTTAACCCAGACCAGTACACTGTATATCAATAATCTCAAATTGGAGAAAGATAAACAAAACAAAAAAAAAAACAAGTAAAACTAGCATGGGACACCAATGTCAAAAAATAAGTTGATTTAGAGGCACAGAAACAGATATTTCAGTGACTGACAATTTTAGTTACATTTTTTTTTCAGCTGAGGCATATACATATATATGAATATACATAGAATACATGTGTGTGTGAAAGACATGTTATTTTTCTTAAATAATAAATATGTTTTTCTTAAACCACACTAGCTAATTTTCCTTCAACTTGAAGGACATGACTATGACTCCTCACTTATCATCAATATCTGCCATTTTAATAACAAAATGTTAAATTAAAACATAATTGTATCATAACATGTATTTGGGTTTGTGTATTCCACTAATATGCCACAGGGTTACGGTGTGTCTCCTGGAAGACGACAGTTTTGTGCCAGTGGATCAACTATTTGGAACATTAACAAAAAAACAAACTTTAGATGGCTAAATCTTTCTTAAACATACTCTCAACTCATCAGGAATAAGGTTTGTTCGTCTCTTCTTTTCTGTATTCCACACTTGAATGTCTCCTGTTGAGCCACCTTCTAATTTTTCTTTGGCTGACTTAATGTGTTAATAACAAGTACAAATCATTTCATATTGGAATTAATAATGAGCATCTTTAGATATGAACTGCTATCTCAGAGAGTCTTAAACAACCCTTCCCTTGGCAATTTAAAATTTATTTTTTAAATCGCCAAGCCCCATTTGAAGGAGACAGTCAGGAAGACGCTGAGCTACAACTTAAAGACATGGAAAGATACGTTCCAGAGTATAACAGAAGGCAGGTAACTAGAAGTTCTGAAGATGATTTGGGCAAATCCCTGGGTATATGCAATAGAGTACAAGGCACACCTTGCAAGCAAGGCTGACTGCAGCGAGAGGGAGACAACTACATCTGGTTTTGTGCAACCTCCTGTCGGGGGAGAAGTAAATAAAACACAACTCTGCACTGAAGGAACTTATAACCTAACAGCGAAGACAGACACTAACTCTACGAACTCTTCTGTGTTGGAACAGTGGAGAGGACCACGGGTTTGGAGTCAAATAGATTGAGGTTCACCTTTCCTGGCTCTGTGACATCAGGATGCCTGGTGACACAGTCTCCACATCTAAAACCTGGTGATAACAACACATCACAGAACTGATGAGAGGCTGAAATAAAATAAGGTATGCATAGGATGTGGCACTGTCCTGTATGTAATTTTCACGCAGGAAATCCCCCTTCCTCCAAGAAAAAGGAGGTAACAGCATTTGATTTTTCAGCTGAGTCATACACATACATACACGTGAGCAGTGTTATCTTATCTGCTCACAAGGCTGAATTCCTGAAAGTCAAGTTAATTTTCTGGGAATAATATGTAAATGAAAATAGTAAAACATAATTCTGTGCTAAACCAGGTATAGCCTTACTGTAGAAATCAATGCTTTTAAGAAAAGAAATTGATGAAGTGAGAAGGGAGTTCAAAAATGGAAAAAAATTGCTATTCATTGGTATTTTTCAGCTAAGTGAGAAAAGACTCTAATGGATTTTAGAGGCAAGAGCCCTAAAGGAACTCAGCTCAAGGAACAGTGCTATTCCTTGGAATCATAGTTTAAAAGCCACCAGCTGCAGAGCCCGAACAAAATAAGAAATGTTATGTACTTTAAAGTATAAAGTCCTAAACAACTGCATTATGTTTTTCCACACAGTTAAATATTTGAGGCCCCACTATCCATTAGAAACTATACAACAGGTGGATATTAAGATGAGTAGTCATTGTCTTCCTGACACTCCTGGTGCTTACTTAAAGCTTATCTTTTAGAGATGGAGATGTGGGGACAAGGAACATTTCAGCACACAGAAAGGTAGAAACCAGTGCAGTGTTCCAGGGGATTTATGAATGGATTACTGGAGAACCCATACCAATGAACATGCACACTGTAGACTGGATGAAGTCCCATTTTATTTAGCCAGACACAGAAACTTAATGGAAGCCAAAGAGATAGCCAACAAGAAGCAGTATTCCTCAAAGTAGAAGAGCTCCTGATCAGGTGTGTAGCTTGCCATGACTGCCACATCAGGAAATCTCAATTATTCCTGGAGCACTGCCCATGTATATTCAGGGCTTATGTTATACTCAGGAAAAACACACAATCACTCTTCTTCCCTTTAAGAAGATGGCTAGACTGATCAGGTTCTTCCAGGTTTCAAGCCAACTAGCACTGGAGTCAGTTCCCAGGTACCTACGAACAATGGTGCATCTTCCAACTCTCAAGTAATCACCATTTTAATGATGGTAGAATTAGAATTCAAAGAGGTACAGTATTGGTCCAATGGCTCACATAAATGTAACTAAGGGAGCCCAGAGGAAGGTCACCTAATCCAGTTTGGGGAAAAGAATTTTGAAAGAGGCAGAAACTAGTTACAAACTTCAAATTGGTACATCAATGAATCACACAAGATATAACGGCCAACACAAAATTAAGTTGTTGTCTATATAAGTTTCTGTCTCTTTGTTATAAAATCACACACACATACACACACACATACACACACACACACACACACACACACCTGGATGGATTTTTTTCCACATTTAGAGGATGTGTTTGAGATGGAGTTTGCTTAAATGACAGATGATGTGTTATACAGAAAATTTGATTTTGGGGGTTTTGTAGCCTGTCTCAGAAAGACAAGCAGTTATAGAAATTGAAACCAAGATCCAGAAGAATCATCCATATGATGCTGCAGCGGGCAGAGAAAACAATAGCTTTAAACATGAGCTCCATATCAAACATCACAAAGGCACATGGTCTAAATCATACAGTGAGGAAGAGCAGGGAGTTATTTCAAGATGGTTAATGATTCTCCTGAGCAAAACTGGAAGGCCAGCTTGTCACCAATACTGGTGCTATTTCATTCTAGGGTGACTGACACCTGGAGAGCTCTAGCAGGGGTCCCAGTTAAAGTGCTGACAAGGCATCGGTAAGAAGTAGGAGGCCTCGAGCACGGAGAGGCCGGAAGGGCAATGTGAGGGAAAGGCATGGGGTCAGCAGTCACAGGCAGAAACGGAAGGATGGACTAGAGGACATGGAGAATGTAGCAGTGACCACACCTGCAGAGCAAATGAGAAGGATCATAGAATAGAAGCCTAAAACCATCCTTATATTTCTTGCTCGGAGAAGACTGAACAATAGAGAAGGTTTAGCAACCGCTATGATTTGTTTCAGGAAAAAAGCAAGAATCTTGGCTCTAGCCCACTGAGGGTTAGAACAATTCACTTTTAATCGAAGATGTCTTGATATGCGTGAGAAATCAGACACCAGATTTTCAGTTGGGCACTCATCCAGATGAGGAGGA